TACTACATCACCACCAGTGTATCCGCGGTGAACACTAGAGGTCGTGTGGTTCTGCGTGGTTCTTCAAGTCTTGTATTTTTTGTTATAGTGTCTAAACTAAAATGTTAAATCTAAAGTGTTACAGCCAACTGTAAAATTGTAAGGAGTTCCAGTAAGTACTGTAAAAGGTATAGCAAAGATTCAATTAGATGTGGATCATTACAGTGATTCTTTAGAATACTGCTGTGTAATTCTACCTATGAAGGCCTCTGGTCCAAGTGAAGGTCAATCAATGCAACTGAATCTCCCACAGAATGACTCCCAGGACAGCTTCTGCTCAACACAAGTGCAAAGAGGCTACAAGAGACACCTTATATGCTGACTGGGATATAAGGTTTGTGATGGTGTAAAATATTGGCATAATAGAATAGGTATTTCAAACTCTTCCATTACTTTAGTATCTTATGCTCACTAAAATGTAAAAAAAGAAAAGGATAAAAAAGTGTCTGGCAAACACTATAAAAAAACTAAAGAATTACAATTATATAATTATTATAATATAATTATTTTATTATCATAACAACCAAATGCAAATGCTCGTGGACATTTCTGCACACTTCCCCTTTGAAACCAAAACAAAGGTCTCATGGTGAGTTCATTGTTTTCATGCCAAAGCTGGCGTCTCCTTGGCAACAGGCTGTAAACTCAAAGCTGCTTCAGGCAAATGCGCAATGAAGACAAAGGACTGACCCTTAAAAGACAAGGACGTAAACACATGAACTAATTTAACTTCATTTAAATCAAAACATTTCAGTCCAGAGAAGTAACAAACTGCTTACACAGGTGAGTCTTGCTTGTTTAAATTTAAGCAAAAGAAAAGACTTTTCATTTCCTTATTTAATAACTATTGTTTAACATCGACTATTTTTCCTTGGTAAGTTATATGCTGACTTATGCATTATGAATAGTGATTATTGGTTTATAAGGGCTTGTTTTTCTTATTCAAGGTCATTTATTAATTTCTACTATCTACTAATATTAAATTTATTAGTAAATTATACAGGAAGTTGCTTTAGGGAAAAATGTGCTAATCAATAACTCCAAAAGCAAACATTTACAATTTATTAAAGATATAAAAATATCTTTAAAAATACATAAAATGTCCTTGCACTTTAAACAGTACTGAGATTATGCATTGCCTTCATCATAAACACAACCACACGGGGGCAACAAAGCAGTTCTTGTGCATGCTGTGAATGGACGACATTCATTACAGTTAGTGCATCAGAACTGCAGCTAATTGTCTGTGTTTGTGCATCTGCCAGAACACTGGAGCATGAGTAAACATGAAAGAAGCAGATTTGTGGAGCAGCTGTTGAAGGACGAGCTTGAGGCTGTGGCTCTGGGACTGGAGCAGGGAGACTATGCTTGGGAAGAGATTGACCTGCCTCATGATTCACAGGGCTCCACTCCTCTTATCAGTGCCTGCAGGACGGGTCTTACTAGGGTATGAGACAAAAGGGAGATACGATCAAAACAAAGTGGAAACTATAGCTGACTTCTGTGTAGGAAAGCTAATGTAGTGTAATATGGGTTTAATGTATTCATTACAATAATGGGCATAATGTTTCACTTACTGTAGTAGCTACTTTCTACTGCTTCCTGTTTTCTTGATTGAAATGATGTATTATGCATTAAACAACAGTTAGTTTTAAGAGCAATAATATACAGTTCACTGGGGGCTTTGAATTGTTTGTTTTTCTCCGTTTGGGTGCGTCTGTACTACAGGGAATCTTTTGTAGTGAATCTTCCGTCGTTACACTGTTTAACCACTAGGTGGCGACAAGTGACTGTTTTGATGAGTGACTTGTCCGCATAATACTACGGTTCCAGGGTGTACCATTATCCAGAG